CTGTATATTCTTTTACATATATGTCGCAGGTATATATATAATAATCCGCCTTTTTGCAAAAAGAGTAGGCATATTACAAAACGCCGGATTTTTAAACAAATGAAGTAATTTTTACAAAAAAACTATCTATTCTCAGTCACTTTGCAAAAATCAGAATAGATTATTAGATAATTAGAAAAACAATGACAATATTTTCTGTACACATCTGCAAAGACTGCCTGTTTTCAGTGATTTTACAAAATTCCAAATCCACGCCAGGCAGATTAAAAAATGATCAAAATTTAGTCAGATATTAGCATAAGCATATTGAATAATTTGCGCTTTATAAAATATGTTAATATACGAAAACAATAATTATTTATGTCAATATTTCCTTTTGTTTAGACGAAAACAACTTGAACCCTATTTCAATTATAATTATAAGTATAACATAATTTTAAATACAAAATATATTAAAACGTAATAATATCCTATTTAATTATTATACTCTGTAATTCAATAATTCTGTATTCAGGCCTACTCCTTTCTGGAAATTTGCTTTCTCTTAGAATGGGATAAATTTATATCTTAATAATAATCGTCCTTAACCATACTTTATTTAGCATAATTGTCACTTTTTGAGCTGTTATTTCTTAATTTTGAAAGAGAAATTCAAAAAATATCGTTGGATAAATTTAGGTATACCAATCCTGCGTAAAATGTTTTGTGCAATATGACTAGTTTTCATTAGGCATTTTGCAAAGCGACTGAAAACAGATATGTCATTTGTAAAATATCCTTCTTTTGTTAAAAATACCGGCGTTTTATAATAAGCCTAGTCTTTTTGCAAAACGCCGAGTTATTTGATATGCCTGCGACATATACTATGTGACCTACTATTACTACCGACTTCTGATAATTTGACAAGAATAATCATCAGTTATATGACGTCCTATATGAGTCATATGACGACCAAATACATAAAAGAGCACAATCGAGGGTTAATTTAGAAAGATGAAAAGTTAGTCATCAAATCGCAAAATCAATAAAGGAAAAGTTCATTTTATGCGTTTCAGTTAAACGAATGTAAACACGAAATAATTATATTCAATTCGAATATATAAATACGTAATAAGATTGAAAATAGCGGTAAGAAACGACTTTTAAATACTGAGTTTGTTTACTTTCAATTATAACTTCTGATTTAAGGAGGTCTGCCCCTCCCCCTTTACTATCTACCAAAAAAAACCCAACTTAATTGACAACAGAGCATAAAATATTGACTTCTTTACTTATTAGTAGACATAGAAAAATTGTGGAAATGCCGCCTTTAGTTATGCCGGATTAAAAAAAAATGGTTTATTTGGACCATAATTGATATAATTATTAAAAATATATATTTTACATTTTGTCTTTATATTTAACTAGTTCACGTTATTTTAATGTTTGATATATATATATATATATATATATATATATATATATATATATATATATATATATATATATATATATATATATATATATATATATATATATATCTTATACCATCACCATCACATTTATTTATGATTATTTTGCAATTAAACTATAACAATGAATAAAATTATAACAAAAGAACCGATAGATTCTAAACGAAAATAAGAAACGTTTTTCATATTCAATCAAATATATATATATATATATATATATATATATATATATATATATATATATATATATATATATATATATATATATATATATATATATATATATATATATATATATATATATATATATATATATATATATATATATATATATATATATATATATATATATATATATATATATATATATATATATATATATATATATATATAAATTACTTATATATAAATTACTTACTTACGCATCTGTAGATGATAGTAACATATGCTATATCGCTTCTTTGATTTTCCAAAAACAGTACGTAACATAATTTCTAGTAAAAACAAACAATTTTTTTATATATGGTAATTTTAAGCTTTTTGGTTTTCTTTTTGGTATCATATATAAAAAATATTATATATGCTTAAACATTTTCTAGATAGGTATACTAAATAGGTATATACATCTTTAACATATTATAACAATGAAAAGCTTTCGAAAACTCAGCTTTTTATGGTCGGCCATCCACGAAACTTGCAATCATAGATATAAAATTATCAAACATGAACTAAGAATTACATTGCATTTGGAGCAAGCGCCCAATAATCAAGGGGATTTCATTTTGACGAACCCACCCTTTTACCCATTTTAAAACATCAATTGCAGCAGCTGCAGCACTCGTTTTTGTGGCAAACCCATCAATCAACAGATAACAGAGACTGCCCATTTAAAACACGGAGAACAATGCGAAAAATTCAGAGAGATCGTAATGATTCTTAAAAAACGCATTTCTCGAGAATGTTATATATTAATACTAGCGTGTACCAGCGACTTCGTTCGCGTCGAATTAATAATTTATAATGGTGATGATAAAGCAATGCAAGAATTTCCATTAACATACAAACTGGATAAAATTTTCTCACATATATGTCAGCATGAGAAAAAACAATATGGCGATATTATTATATAACTTGGTAATATTTGAGGGGTAGTTTCATCTCGTTCGAATTTGACTTTCGAAAAATCCGTCCCAAAATAAGCTTTTTACGTCAAGCAGTTTAAGCAGAATCGTGGTTAAGAAATTACCCCCTGTATGATTTTTTAAAAAATTTCAAAATATGTAAAAAAAAACAAATAAATTATGCTTATCCAAGCGTTTTCCCGAAAGACTAACCGTTTTTAAATAATAAATATTGTAATATTTGAGGGGCGTTTTTGCCCTCTTGGAATTTGAGATTTGAGAAACCCCTCCTTATCGAACCTCTATACCCCACAGTCAATCCGTTTGCCAAAAATCAGCTTTAAACGTCAAACAGTTTAAGCAGAATCGTAATTACTCAATGGTTATATTTTATGAAACACCCTGTACAAATTTATAAAAAATCTTAAAATATGTAAAACAACAAAATAAAATATACGTGTTTAAGAGTTTTTCCGAAAAACACCGGTTTTTAAATAAAAAAATATTTTAATATTTGAGGGATAGTTTCACCCCGTTAGAATTCGAGTTTCGAAAAATCACTTCTTATCAAACCTCTACACCCTAAAGTCAATCTGTTTTCCAAAAATCAGCTTTTTACGTCAAGCACTTTTTCGAAACACCTTGTATACATTTTTAAAAATCTTAAAATATGTAAAAAAAACAAAATAATATATGTAATCATTATTTGTTATTAATTATAAATATATAAATTAAAAACATTAATAATAAAATTTATGTAATCATTATTTGTTATTATAACTGACTTAAATAAAGACATTTATTATTATTATTATTATGTCCTTGAATCTCGGGCTTTCCGGTATTTAACGTAGTCGCGGACTTAAGTCAAGCGTCAACGCTTTTTACTGTGTATTTAAGACTTGTCGTGTAATATTACATGTGTGGAGGATAAGTGTTTTTTGAATGGGTATATAAAGTTTTGGTGCAAGTTCAAGGCCTTTCAGACTATCATGTAATGATTTCGGGATCAATCCTGTTGATGACACTATTATTGGTATAATTTTTACAATGTCCTGGTGCCATATCTGCCTTATTTCTTCTGCTAGAGGTATATATTTTTCAATTTTTTCAGTGTGTTTCTTCTTGACATTTTGTGAATTTGGTATAGATATCTCTATTAAGTATGTCGTTTTGGTTGGTTTGTGGATGAGCGTGATGTCTGGTTTGTTGTGTGGTGTGGTTTTGTCTGTGATTATATCCCGGTTCCAGTAGAGCTTGGCTGTCTTATTTTCTAGAACGTTAGCTGCTTGATATTTGTAGTATGGTGTATGGCAGCAGATGAGTGAATATTTCTTTGCTATTTCTTGATGGATTATTCTGCAAACATCGTCGTGTCTTTGGGTATATTGTCTGGAAGCAAGTATAGAGCATCCCCCGGTTATGTGTTCTATTGTTTCGGTTTGTGTGTGACATAGTCTGCATTTGTCTGTAGGTGTTTTGGGGTCTTTGATTATGTATTTCTGGTAATTACGTGTGGCGATGATCTGGTCCTGGATTGCTATTATGAAACCCTCGGTTTCTCCAAACAAATTACCTTGAGTAAGCCATGCATTGGATGCTGCTATGTCAATGTGTGGTTGTGTTAGTTGGTTTGCACGTTTTCCATGTAGGGCTTTGGATTTCCATTTTTCAATTTTAGTGTTTGTTGTTGTAATTGCATCAACTGGTATGAATGCTTCATTGTTGAAATGTAACGGTGTACCTGATGTTGTTAGGTTAACAATGCTTCGGTGTAGTGGGCTGGTAACTGCTTTCTCTCTGAAATATTCTCTGAGTGTGTGTATTTGCTTGTAGTTCATGTTCTTTAGATCCATAAATCCCCTTCCTCCTTCTTTTCTTTTTAGTGTAAATCTTTCTGTTGCCGCGTGTATATGGTGTATTCGGTACTTGTTACATGTTGTTGTTAACCTGTTTAGTTCTTCTAATTCCGTGTCACTCCATATTTATAAAATTATTATTTAAATTTTGAGACACTTCTCAGCATGAGAAGGTAGCTAACGGTTTTTGCATTTAACAGGGAAGAAATTCAACTTAACCTATCAAATGCTTAAAAATTTTCTCACAATGTGGCACGTCTGGAGAATAGCTGCATTCTGAATTGTTACAATAAGTCCTTTAGGTAGAGCCAACCGTTCTAGATTTCCCGCAAAGCACCTTGATACGATTCCAGTTGAAGATATAACGATGGGGATAATTCGTACTTCTTTTAACTTCCAGGCATGTTTGATTTCCACAGACAAATTTTGATATTTTGCTATTTTTTCCCTTTCTGTTTTTTGTAAGTTGGCACTCAGCGGGCAGGCAATATCAACAAGAATGGCATTTTTGTTTGCTTTATCGATGATGACGATGTCTGGGCGATTGTAGTCAACTGTTCTGTCAGTTATTATTGGCCTGTCCAGTATAAAACAGTGTTGTCCGATTCCAGCACTGCAGCAGGCAGATACTTATAGTATGGTGGAGGGTTATCTATTAGCCGGTATTGAATTGCCAGTTGCCTATGGATAATTTTTGCAATCTGGTTATGCCTTCCCAAGTATGCAGAGTTTGATAATCCTGAGCATCCCCCAATTACATGCTCTATTGTTTCACCGAAGCTATGACATACCCTACAAACATCCACAATCTCTGTATTTTTGAGAATATATCTTTCATAGTTCCTGGTACGGATCACCCCATCTTGAACAGATATGATGAATCCTTCGGTCTCTGCATGAAGATTTCCCTTAGTTAACCACAGCAGCGATGATGCTTTGTCAACAGTTGGATCGTTTAAGGCCGTAGGATATTTTCCATGTAGCACTTTATTTTGCCATTCTAGGTGCATTTCTTCTTTTCGTCTGTGGTCGTCTATAATGTCTTCGGGACAGTGAAGGTTAAGTGGGGTAAAGTTTGTGTCACATTTAGCGATTTTTCTCAATAATGGGTGGTTAGAACAATGGAAGTACTCTCGCATCTTTTTCTCCTGTGATCTACATAGTTCAGTTATATTAGTTAGTCCCCTACCTCCCTCTTTTCGAGGTAAATACAACCTCTGAGTGGCACTTTTGGGATGATGTATTCTGAATTTTGTGAATGTGGTTCTGGTTAAGATATCAAGGTTTCTCAGGTCAGTGTCTGAGTATTTTAGTATACCGAAAGAGTAGGTCAAAATAGGAACAGCGTAGGTATTTATTGCAGTAATAAGGTTTTTTGCATTTAATTTGGTATTAAGTAACTTAGTAAGCCTGCTCTTGTATTTGATTTTGAATTCCTTTTTTAAACGAGTATGGTCGATTCTCTTGTTTTGTTGTATCCCTAGATAATGGTAGCTTTCATCTGATGTCAGTTGGTGGAATAGTACTTCTTCATTTGGTAGTTCAGCAATCTTACCCTTTCGTATATGTATCTCAGCGCATTTATCCATTCCAAAATCCATCCTGATGTCATCGCTAAATATTTGAACAGTTTTAAGTAAGTATTTCAAGTTGTTGTTGGATTCAGAGTATAACTTTATATCGTCCATAAATAATAGGTGGCTGATGTTGATGCTATCCTTTAAGTCAGGTCTATATCCTGATTTACATTGGTTCAACAGATGTGACAGTGGGTTTAGCGCTAAGCAGAACCATAGTGGGCTGAGTGAATCACCCTGAAATATACCCTTTCTGATGTTTATAGTTGTCATATAGCGGTTATTTAAGAGTATTTGCGATTTCCATTTCTTCATGATGTGACTAAGGAATGTAATTATATTTGGGTTGATTTTATATAATTCAAGGACTTTCAAAAGCCAATCGTGAGGAACAGAATCAAAGGCTTTTCTGTAGTCTATGTAACCCATGCTGAGATTTCGACATTTTGTTTCGGCTTGCTTCATAATAATGGCGTCAATTGTGAGTTGCTCCTTACATCCAAGGCTATTTTTTATGCATCCCTTTTGCTCGACAGCGATCAAGTTGTTCAATTGGCAATGCTCGTAGATTTTCTTATGAACTATTGCTGTGAGTAGTTTATAAAATACTGACAGGCATGTAATTGGTCTGTAGTTTTTTGGATCCTTCATGTCACCTTTTTTTGGTAACAAGTAGGTGATACCTTGCGCAAGGAATTCTGGGAATTCATCTGGATCTCGAAGAACATTGGTAAAAAACTTGGCCAAGAGAGAATGGATACAGGTAAGATGTTTTAGCCAGAAATTATGTATTTTATCTAGTCCTGTTGCCTTCCAGTTCGAAGTTTTTACGATGCATGACTTAATGTCATTTTCCTCAATTTGGATATCCACCATTTCCTGATAGTCATTGGTACTTTCTTCCACCTGATCAATCCATGGTGCTTGCTGGTTGAAATGAGTTGGGTTAGACCATATATCCTGCCAGTATTTTTCAAATCTCTGTTGGTCAACATGCTCCTCGCTTGAGATTCTGTTAGTGGTATCAAAGTTTCGATAAAAAGCCCTCTGGTTTGCTTGGAAATTTCTATTCTGTTGTTTCCGCTTTGATGCTTCATTATAACGACGCAACCTTGCTCCCTTGACCTGAAGTTTTTGTCTTAATTCGTCTTGATATGTTATTAGTTTTTCTCGAAACTCTGGATCCTGCTTATTCAGTTTTGCTGTACGGATAATGACTTCAATTTTAATTTTGACTTTTTTACTATTGTTATTGTTAAGGTACTCTCGTATTATATTATTTCGTGTTCTTAGAGTGTTAATATCACTTTCAAGGCGTCTTTGCCAGGATGGTTTTACTTTAGTTGGTTTTGGTGGAATTGAAGTTCTTTCAAGTATTTTTTGGCCATTGAGCTCAATGACAGTAACAGCTGTCGCATATATAGCGGTGTGAATATCCGTGAGATTTTCAAATCTATGCAAATTACTTTGTAGAGAAAAGTTTGCATTTGTTATGTACCTGGAAGTGAGGTTATTGAATTTTAGTTTAGGTATTGAAGGCCTGTTTGATGGATCAGAACCTCGGAATAGCTCAAAGTTGCTTAGGAGTTTTTGGGTGACCTCTTCTTCTTCATCAGTTGGGTTGTTTTGACTGGGCAAGCTTTGTCGCGTTGTGTCTGTTTCAGTTACGTCTAAATTTTGATATTCGGCGACCTCGTTTATTAAATTTAACTCGTTTCCCACATCTCTACGTAATTGATCTATATCGGTCTGTGTAAGGTAGTTATTTCTGATTATTGTTCTTTTTCTATCCACTAGATTTTGTTCTGTAACGTTAATATCGGAATATCTCTAAAGAAATTCAGAATGGAGCTTTTGTCTCCAACCTGGTAAAGGATCATCTCTACATTCATTTACGAGTAGGTAAGTCCTTATGACATTAAGATTCATTTCTCTACTCCATTTCATCCTTTTTGTTGTTTCTGCTCTCCTGGAAGCCTTCCTGTTTATCTGTAGATTGGTTGGCGGTCCAGACAGTAGAGCAGTTTGATCCTGTCCGTTTTCATTGCTTGAGTCGTCGTTAATTTTAGGCTGGCGATCGACGTCAGGTATAGCCCTATTCCCTGGCGTATCCGAGGCTTTTTTCCTATTTTTTTCTCCATTTTAAAATGGGTGTGCATTTTATACCTACTGTCAGGTGTATATATAGCCGCTCCTAACATGGAGTACAGACGCTATCGGAGTACCGCTCCTTACATGGAGATCCGTCGTGTCCTTATTATATTGTGTTGGTTTGTTACGGTCCACCCCGGGTATTTGATTTCCCCGGAGGCATTCCCCTATCCGCCACCTGGGGAGGCGCCTGGGAGAGGTCCAACACTACCCCTCCTGCAAGCAGGTTCTGCAAGCAGGTTCCAGGAAAAAATTATTATTATTATTATTATTCTTATTATACGTGTTTAAGCGTTTTTTCGGAAACTTGACCGTTTTTTAAATAAAAAATATTGTAATATTTGAGGGGTGGTTTCACCCTCTTGGAACTGGAATTTCGAAAAATCCCTTCTTATCGAACCTCTACACCCTAAAATCGACATGTATGCCAAAATTGAGCTTCTTACGTTGAGTGGTTTGAGCAGGATCGTGATTAATCAGTATGTCAGTCACTTAATGATTTTATATATTAGTATAGATTAATAAAATATAAAACCAATTTCTTGCAGTACATACATACATACATATAGCCGTTACTCGCTGACGAGTATTCGACACACATAAAGAAAATGGTCACGCAAGGCGTTTTCTTTCATGAGCTTTTCTGTGACTGAAAAGCCCGATACGTGATGTTATCTGCCTACCGCACTCCGGACATTCAAAAATCTCATTGCTTTGTTGCCTCTCTACTTTTTGGTTGCCGCTATTAACTGAGTTTACAACCCTTCTCCATTGAGTTCTATTGTGAGCTGCTTTTTCCCCACTCATTCTGCATGTTAATTCCCTTTAAATTTTCGTGGAAAATGTCCTTGTATCTTTTCAGTTGTCCACCCGGCCTCCTCTTACCGTCCACAAGCTCACCGTAAAGCAGAGATTTTGGTATGCGGTTTTCTTGCATTCTGCATACGTGACCAGCCCATCTTAAGCGGGATTTTGTGACCATGACTTCAATACTCTCGCAGTTAGATTTTTCAAGGACCGATACGTTTGAGACATGATGGAACCACCGGACTCTTAAGAGTTGTCTAAGGTGTCTCTGTTGCAACTTGTTCAATGCGTTCATGTGTCGGCGGTAAGGCACCCAGGTTTCGCTCCCATATATCATGGTGGGGATTATAATTGCTCGGTATACTGCAAGTTTTGTTTTTGTACTCAAGTCATGATTGTAGAAAACCCTGTCTTTTAATTTCCAGAATGCTCTTGAGGCGCTACTAATCCTGTGCTGAATTTCAGAGTCAATATTGGCCTTTTCCGAAATCAAAATGCCAAGGTAATTGAATTCCGCCACATATTCGAATAGTTCTTCTCCGATTTTTATAGCATTGTTGTGATCTTCCGGGGGAGTGCACATGATTTTAGTTTTGGCGATGTTCAGCTTAAGGCCCAAAGCCTCGTATGCCCAGGTATATGTGTTCAACATTTCTTGTAATTGTTGTACCGTGTTTGCAACTAGAGCGCAGTCGTCAGCGTATTGAAGTTCTGTGATAAATTTTGTACGTGTTTTTGCCCTGAGTCTTTTTATGTTGAACAGACCGCCGTCATATCTGTATCTAACGCCCAATCCTCTCTCCTGCAGTTTGCTGTCCACTATAATGGAGAGCGCTGCCATGAATATGTTGAATAGGAGAGGCGCTAAGACACATCCCTGCCTAACTCCTGTATTTGTTAGGAATGGGTCGCTCAGCGATCCATGATGTGACACTCTTGACTTGTTGTTGTTATGGAGGCTTTTACACACTGTAAGAAATTTGTTGGGTACACCGAACTTTTCCATAATTGCCCAAAGCGCATCTCTGTTCACAGAGTCGAAGGCTTTTGTTAGATCGATGAATGCAACATAAAGTTTAGACTGCTGCTCTTTTACTTTTTCCTGTAGTTGACGGATGGAAAATATGGAATCGACGGTGCCGCGGTCTTGCAGTACAGGTATATAATAAAATAGTATTCTTGCCACTTCACTGCTGATATAGAAATTTAATTCTACGCTGTGTTTGTCATAATGTGGACCAACCTGCTCTCACTACCGGTTTCGGAGTCCTACTCCATCATCAGGTGAGCCTGGGCAGATCCACAAAATGACAACCACAGCGCAGAGATAGTTAATTTCGACTTGTCGGAAAGTGTCAGTTAGATATTAAGTCCCGAACGGGAGATAGCGGCCTGCGTGCAATGGTAGTACTTTCGTACCACCGAGGCGCAAGTATCGATAGTAAAGGGATGGTAAAAGGCTTTCTTTCAGGCGAGCCAAATTAAAAAATAGAAAACAAATTTCTTGCAGTATAGGTATATAATAAAATTATATAAGGATTCTTGCCACTTCACTGCTGATATAGAAATTTAATTCTACGCTGTGTTTGTCATAATGTGGACCAACCTGCTTTCACTACCGGTTTCGGAGCCCTACTCCATCATCAGGTGAGCCTGGGCAGATCCACAAAATGACAACCACAGCGTAGAGGTAGTTAATTCCGACTTGTCGGAAAGTGTCGGTTAGATATTAAGTCCCGAACGTGATATAGCGGCCTGCGTGCAATGGTAGTACTTTCGTACCACCGAGGCGCAATTTGTGGATCTGCCCAGGCTCACTTGATGATGGAATAGGGCTCCGAAACCGGTAATGAGAATTAAATTTCTATATCAGCAGTTAAGTGGCAAGAATCCTTATATAATTTTATTATATACCTACACTGCAAGAAATTTGTTTTCTATTTTATAATTTGGCTCGCCTGAAAAAAAGCATTTTACCATCCTTTTACTATCGATAGTTGCGCCTCGGTGGTACGAAAATACTACCATTGCACGCAGGCCGCTATCTCCCGTTCGGGACTTAATATCTAACCGACACTTTCCGACAAGTCGGAATTAACTATTTCTGCGCTGTGGTTGTCATTTTGTGGATCTGCCCAGGCTCACCTGATGATGGAGTAGGGCTCCGAAACCGGTAGTGAGAGCAGGTTGGTCCACATTATGACAAACACAGCGTAGAATTAAATTTCGATATCAGCAGTTAAGTGGCAAGAATCCTTATATAATTTTATTAATATTAAGATTTCGGATTTATTCTTAATATTTTTTTTTAATTTAATAAAACTATTTTTTTATATTTAAGTTGGATTATACAGTGTCCGCAAAACACCTTGCATCAAATGGGATATATTTTATTATTATTAACACTATTTAGATTTCATTGTCACACAAAAAAATAAGTATTCCGTATATAATATATATAATGTACAGTAGCACCATTTGGGTCACAGCTCTGCTTATTAAAAATGTCGAAATGTATCTTATTTATTAAAGTTGTTTGAATAATGTTCGAAAATTTACTCAGTTTTAAATTCTTTCTCGATATTTCATTATTGGAACCATCCTGTTTCCAATTGTATTCGGGAAATTTTGGCAGCATATTCTGCAGATTAAAATAAGCAAAAAAGTTTGTATATAAATAATTTCTGAACTTTAGTCGATATTTGGATTAAAATTGTAAGTGAATTTTGTAAGTGTATCTAAGTGTTTTTGAAGTGAAAGTTTTTCATGCGCGCTGGGAGTAAAAATTCAAGGCCGTGACACACAAGCGCGAGACGAAAAGTGACAAGGACAACCTACAGCTTAGAAATACGTAGTGACGCTACGAGTATTTGTGAGCAGTCCACGTGTTTATCAAATATGTTGATATTTTAATAAAAATTTTGTGAAAGTGAATCAATTTAATTATTAATTATATTCTATAGACTATACATAATTACTATACAATACAGACGGACAATCGTAACTGTGTTACTTATTTTTACCAGCTCTAATAATAAAAAGAATCTTGTTTGATGCAGACTCTTTTGAAGATACAGTATGTATCCTAGATATACATGTCAAATCAGCAGCATGGCGTGGTGTCAATACAAGAGGATGTAATTAAATAACCGCAATTAACATTTTACCGAGGGGCAAACCCCTGGTGGTATTTATTGTACAAGCACTTGGTAATACTGGTATTTTTTGGTTCTTTTCGTACTAATTTGGTATTTTTGGAACTAATTTGGTATGTTTGGTACTAATTTGGTATTATTTGGTAAAAAACTGGTATTATTTGGTAATAAACTGTTTTTATTTGGTATTATACTGGTATTAAACAGGTATTTTGTTGGACATCTGGCAACGGTGAATGTGGATTAGACGCACGTGGCGACGGCCGGGAAGCTGATTGCATCATTTCTAGCCCATTTGCATTGAAAATGAGCCGCCTTCGCGCTTTTTACACGATCAAAAATTATTGGTGTTGGCCTATTTTATATGAAGTATTTTAAAGTTTTTATATTTAGTGTCCAAGGTAAGTACCTACTTAACAATAACATATACCTCGTAATATACATACTTAAGAATAATTACTTGTGTTTCGAGGTTAGGTTGCTGGCCTATTTGAAAAATAGGTTATTTTTACCGGATATTAATTGCCAAGCTTGCAATTTTTCAATGCATAAAAATGGTTTTACGCAAAAACGGTTCATAGCGTCATACGAAAAAATGTCAAGAAATTAAACTCGCATCATGGAAACATAATATGGATCTCGTTAGAATTTCTTATTTTTCTTGTGCATATAATTATATTTTTGAGCTTATAAGTGACAAATAGCGCAAATGACAAAAAAAAATCAGTTACTTTTTATGTCTAGTTTTAATTTTATAAATTTTTGAAGTATCGATGTTAATGGAACCGTTAAAATGACTTTTTAAACGTGTCATGACAGTAGCTTTATTCGAGTTCCCAACAAGTACGGTTCTAGAACGGTTCAAAACATTGGCACAATATGATTTTTTGCAACTTTTGACATGAATGACATGATTGTCGTAATTAGATTTGAGATTATTTTAAACCGTTCTAGAACCGTACTTTTTTTGGAATTCGAATTAAGCTTATATATTTTTCTGACCTAATTATCGTAGTTTGACATGAATAGGCCCTAAAGCTCCAAATATCTTAAATTCTTTAGATACTAAAAATAATAATACTAATTTGGTATTTTTAGTTCTAATTTAGTATTTTTTGGAAATAATTTTGTATATTTGGTACTTTTTTCCCAAAATTGGTATTTATTGTACACCATTTTTGGCAGCGGTTTGTCCCTCGCATTTTACCAACACAATATTTTTTTTCTTTTTTATTAAAATCTTTAATTTTCAAGTTAGAAAAATAAAATATACTATAGGTTAAATAAATAATCAAACCAATTTAAAAAATTAATTAAATTTAGGTAAAAAAGCTGTCAAATAGTAGGCAAGGCACAAAGTGTATTGAGTGCTTTACAGTCACAGAACCAGTGTTCACTTTTATAAAAATTTTCATTAAAACGACGAATGAACGATTTTAATTTAGTATTAATATTCAAAACTAGTTGAAGCCTGGCGCATCCGCCACGACATCAGGGAAAAAAAATACTTCTTATTTTTTTTTAATTAAATGAAAAACAAAAAATCCGGCGACGACAGTTTTTAGAAAAGCCAATTAGCTATCTTTTAATAAAAAAAAGCAACTTTCTAGAGCAAGTCGTTACTTCAGTAGAGACGACACCGATAAACATTGGCATTTTATATATGTAGATATGCTTTGGAGGTCCTTCTTGAATAGTTTTTAATTTTTCTGAATACACCATAGAAATCAACGATGATTGCAAAATTATTTGTTTTTTACAGTCACACTAGAATCGGTCATCGCGACGCGCGACGATATTTTTATTGTATACCGTGAACGAGCTGTCGCGAACAAGATGTGTTTAAAAACCGCATCACCCACCGACTCAAACAGCGAACGGGAGACATAACCACGGTCGGAAAGTCCTCCGAACCCCGCTCGCGTTCGTTGCCATTCAAGATGTAACGAGGACAGTCACATCATCGCGTTGTCGAGATATTTTTATTTTTAGCGTTTAGCGTAGGTCTTTATTTAAGATCTTTATCGCTATCTATTAAGCTCGACTCACATTAAATAATTGAAATTGAATTTAATTATTTTAATAAATTTACTGAAAATTTTAATTTATTATAGGAGTGACTTTTTTAAACAAAAACGTAAAAAAAATACAATATTTTGAAGGGATGCGACGCATCACCAGTATCAATGGAAGCTTCGCCGCTGATGTCAATCAACATCAACCGAAATTAATCCGAGCAAAGGAAATCGCAAACATAACCCAATACGTACAGCGAAAGCAATATCATATCGCCCCCGGGCAATACTGTCAAAACTGCACGAAATGCTCATTCTATTAAGACTGGGGTACTTAGATCCGACAAAAGAAGAGTGAAAATAAAAACGAAATTGGTCCGATAAATTACGCTAAGAATGGTCTCTTGTGTCCGAATACGGATCTGGGGCAATCGCCTCTTCGGTCGGCTTTATGGGGTAGCGATAATTAAACTTGGAGAATTTGGAGGGAGTGTGGCCGTTACTGTGCGTATAAGATGATACGAAGGAAATTACATCTACCCCTTATATACGTTTAATTTACAAAATATGCAAGAAGAAATTTTATCCAACTATTTTTATATTTATATTAGGTACTAATTTTAAGGTGTTTAGTGTCTATTTATGCTCCTAGAAACGTTGTTTTTTGTAGAATAAACTTTATTTTTATGTTGCGTAGAAAAAGTTTTACATCTCACAACCGTTTAATGAATAACTGCAAATGCGAATAATAATTTAACGAACATTCTTTATCATAAAGCCACGAAAAGTAAAGAAATAAAATAACACGAAAACAACTAATAAACAAATAACATTAAATATTTGTTAGATTTATTAAAATTTATATTGAAATTTATATTTTTATTGAAATTTTCTGATATGGCGATATTTATTAAATGTTGATACATGAGGTAAAGTCCCAACTGCGACTTCGCTGTTAGCTACTAACAAATTGTACTCCGACAACGTCGTACGATAGGTTTCCCAGTTACCTGACACTTTAGCGCGATTAAAGAGCTGTCGAACTTCTTTTCTTCTTTTGTCCAGTTTGTTGTTCCACCAAGAGGACTTCCTATTATCCTTCTTTGTTTTAAGTGGACAGTTTTCACTATAAGCCGTTATGATTGCACACCGCAGTTGTTCCGCCGCAATCTCGATCTCATTGCGATCTCTCACTTTTGCAATTGTGGATTCCAGCAGATATACGACTGAGCGGTTGTATCCTTCCCAATCTGTGCACTTTGGATCCCTATATTGCAGGAGAGTTCTTTCACCTACGCTTATTTCAAACTGTATGTGTCTGTGATCCGAGCACGATGGCTCAGATGATACCCTCCAGTTGGATATCCTGTTGCTCAAATAGTTGGAGCTGACCGTAATGTCTAAAACCTCTTTCCTGTTACAGATAACAAAGGTTGGTTCGAAGCCTATGTTATTAACCACTAACCCTTCACCTAGTAAGTAATTAAGAATTAACTCACCTCTGAAGTTGCTTCCTGTCCGTGCTTCCCCATGCCTCGTTGTGGCCGTTGGCGTCGCATCCTATCACCAGCTGTAGATTTTTCCTCTTGCAGAAGGAGATTACTTCTCTGACTTTCTTTGGAGGAGGTAGATCTGCTGTCTTGTCTCCCGGGAAATATGCTGAGCAGGCAACGAACTCCATTCCACCATCACTCTTCCCCGCTGGGATCTGGACATGCACCGCCACCACATCCTGACAGCAGAACCTGTAAAGATTAAAAGAGTGCACGCTCTTTTTTACTAAAATGCATGCCCTAGGTCTGGTTACTCCTGGGGCAGTAATTAGTCTACCCTCTGCGTTCCCAAGGCCACATACGCGGCCTGAATTAACCCAAGCTTCCTGAATGAAGGCGAGATGTTTACCTTCCTTCCTGAACCTTCTGCCAAGGGCGTTGGAAGCGGCCTGGTGTAGATTACTTTGTATACATTTGACTGCTGCAACCATCCCTACAGTAGTCAAATTTAGGTTTTGCTCCCACCATCAGGGGTCTACGTCCCCTTTTGGTGGGAAAGCTACATTCGTTTAGCCTGCCTTTCCGGGTGGGTTTCTTCCCACTCGAGTTGCCAGGCTTCTCCGAGGCTCCAGAGGGTTTAGCTTTAGACCCTTTCATGGCCGGGTTTTTCCGTGTCACTACATTGCCTCCAGCTCTCTCCCTCTGGGTGTTACCAGACCTCGTGGCGTCAGTTGTTCCCCGAGAGGCTGTTGGATGGTCCCCACCATCTCCCGAGACTGATGCCCTGGTCTGCTCCGTAATGGATTCGTTTTCCTTATCTCTGGGTCGGAAGGAAGAAAGAAGAATGAAGAAGAAGTAATCCCGTTAATACTTTTCCAAATTTCCATACCGTTTAAAAGAAAATTAAAAAAAAGAACATAAAAATACAGTTGACTTTTTTTGAAATCCTAAAAATCAAAATGCGTTTCTATGGGAATATAATTTTGTTTTTATTTTTTGATAGATTGTTATTGATAAAATCTTAATTAAAATCAAATTTGGCTTAAAATCTTAAAGAAACACAAAATTTATTTAGATCAATAATTGTACGGATAGGGTGATAGTAGTTTTTGGAAAATATGATACTTTAACAACAGCAAAAAATATGATGTTAATCAAAATTAATAAGAACCGTCTATCAAAGAATAAAATCGAAATTGTTTTACCATGAAAACGCTACTATAAAATTTCTACCATATTTTCATGTTTTTTGTAAAAAGGTATAGAAATTTGAAAAAGTATAAACGGGATTAACCATTTATAAAAAAGCAAAGCATTTTTATGAAGAACGCATTTTTTCTCAAAATGTTAATAGCAAAAATGTTTTTCCAATTGTAAAGACAATTCGGAGACATACTGTAGAGTGAAGTGCAAAAAAAAATTATGCTGTGTACTTACCATATTCTTAACATTGACCACTACTGTTAGATTTAATAAGTTTCTTAATAACTATTAATAAGTTTACTAACATATACATATACTAATATTTCACAAAGATGTTTCGCAACTTAGTACTTAGTACTATTTATTAAAAATGCGGGCGTCGCATCTTTAGTGTATTTGTATAAACGCTTCCTGTTATGGTCTAAAAAATATACGAATCACATATGGTGTATTAAGCAATACTTGAAAAATAAGGTAAGATCATGCCTGAAAATTAAATGCAACCACAAATCTCGTTAAGCACACTAGTCAGTGAGGAAAACATACACTATAAGGCTAATATAAAATTAAAGTCTGGTACAAAAAACAGACATCAATCTACAAAAGAAGCTATGCTACAAGGAGTTGTTAGAAAGTACAGAGACAGACTCGTAATAGAATAAATTACATTTCAACACACAATTAACGAAACTTATTAAGTGTTTGCATTTTACCCTATTCTTATTATTTTTCCAAAAACTATTTTTTCTGTAGTATTTTTTATGATAAAATCTCATTATTAGAAAAAGGATTAAAATATCTCCGAGCTGTTTTTAACAAAAAGATTTAGAATTGTTAGCAGTTAACACCAAAATCGCAGTTGGGACTGATGACTTATTAACTAATATTTAAAAACCAACAGTAAAGAGAAACGTATCATACAGTCTATATATATATATATATATATATATATATATATATATATAATATATATATATATATATATATATATATATATATATATATATATATATATATATATATATATATATATATATATATATATATATATAGTAGTGTTGACGGGTTGTGTTGACGGGAGATGCACTAATATCTCACCGACACTTTACGACATCGTCTGTAGATATAGAAGAAGTTTTGCTTGTCGTATCGGTGAGAACCAGCCCCTGGACAGCCCACCTGATGAAGGGTAGGCCCAGAAACCGGTTGTGGGAGTGGAGCTTGGTTCCCCCCTTTACGACAAGCAAAACAATTTTCTTTTTACTTTTTATTTTATTTTTTTAATTTTTTCTCTACTTTCGATTTTTCGAAATTAGAAAAAATACACAGCTAAAGGCAAGAAAATATTATTTATTAATATACACTAAAGCTGTAAGAATTTTGTTCATTTCATATATATATATATATATATATATATATATATATATATATATATATATATATATATATATATATTTTCACTCCGCCACGCCGTCATGATATTTAAATATTTTAGTTATTTGCTGGTGCAGTTATTGAGACTATAAAATACTCGGGTACGAAGTTTGTGTGATGTAACGTTCTTTCAGGTGGTAAAAAATAAGTGAAAAAGAATTTGAGCTAGGCGTCATATTGTGTTGTGACAATTTCAAATGTTAATAAAATTACCGGAAAATTGTAAGCACGTAAAGGAGAGCGGAATTAGGGCGTTACGCGTTGTTGGGTGCAATATCATTCAATAATAAAGCAAAAATGGATTCAAGAATTTCGACGAAACAAGTGAGTAAACAAAGTGCTCGCTACATAACCAAAAAATTAAATAGACATATAGTTTGAGAGAATAAAATATAATTTGCAATATTAATGGTATATAATTTAATCAACTAGTGATTAAATGTTTCATGGACATCTTCTAAAATTATAATTATGTATCTTTAAAAAATTCCGTTATAGCCGAAATAGCCCCAATTATGCACCACTAGCAAAACCGGCGATTAAAACTATGCTCGCTACCGTAGTTGAACTCATCTAAAAAGTTTTTTAACTGGAATAATAAATTATAATACAAGTTAGATCTTCTAAAGATATCAAAATATTTACTTTTTTATCTTTAGAATTTTCACAAATTATACTTCCTAAACTTTTAATTAATTAAATAATACATTTTTCGTATACTCGCTATTTAAGCCCGTGTTTGATAGTATTAACGCCCGTGTTAACTAGTATTTATAGATATAAATACTAGTTGTTTACGTTATTTTCCGATAGTGGCAGCACCGGCGGAGAATGCACCAAGCCTATAACCAATAAAATAAATGATGAAAATTTAATAATTATTACAAAAGCGAATAAGGACAACACTATAACAATAATAATATTAAACCATAGATGGCAATTATATCTTCTTCTTAGAGTTTCTTGTCATATTCAGAGTGTACCGCAATATATTTTGAAAGCGACTTCTCGGCATGTATTTGTAATGGGTATCATTTTTTCCTACATGAGACCTATAGTTTATTGCCGAATCCGTAACCTTTTAGAGGTTACTGCTTCTATTTACTGTTTGTAAAGCTGGATCTGTCAACTTGGTGGTTGTGTGATAATTTGTGCTAAATTTTAATTCAAGTTTATAACTTTTTGTTCAAATATAATTGAAAATAGATTAGAAAAAAAAATAGTATGAACAGAATTAAACGTGAACAGCTCAAAAGTTGGAGTTGTAGTCTACAGACTTCTTAGAGCAAATATAAACAGAGTCGAACATTTGGTTGGACCAAGAGAACTGGCTTATTTGGAAACTCAATCAATTGTCTTGTTAGAAATGGTTGGGTGACCTAGATCTTAATTAGTCTACCACCTCACCTTCTGTTGATTGTTTGTTTCAATTTTAAACAATTTTAATCTGGTTCAAGTAATTGAACTTATAAGAACAACCACAAGTAGCATATCTCTTACAGATGTCATTTAGAAAAGAAAACATTTATCTGTAAATAGTACTCCCAAAGTGGATTTAAATTATAATACGGATAATTTTCTTTTGTGTTGCTCTATCAATTTTGAAAATAATTTACTAGATCATGTCCTATTTCCTGTCATTGGTGGTTGTGCAGATCGTCCTTATCGACCCTACTTATAATAATACTTAAAAAAATTAATAAATGCAATAATTGAAATATAATGATATTTAACTACTATTACTACAAACACCACATTTTGGTCCTTATTAATTATATTAACACAAAGAACAAGCTAATAAATATAAAGTTTCAAAATTGCTTTCAAACTTTTATGACTCTCAACATAAGAATCGCCAAACTCCTCTATGTCTTGTCGAGTTACAACCACGACCTTCCATTAATTTTCTTTTATGAAGCAAACTTAAATAGGATTAAACTTCTACAACATATTTTGCTAAATTTACTATTTATAAATTCAAATCCGACAGACAAAAATAAAAACTATGTTCAAAGACGACTTTTATTGAAATAAAAAACAAATCGGATTTGGAAACATTGTGGATCAAGTGTATTATTATACTTATTTTTTTAAATATATTATATTATATAATATTACAAAAATGTGTAATTATAGAAAATGAATAAATTGTAAATAAACAACGTTTGCAATACAGTATTAAAAAAGTTATTTGTGGCCGGCTGTAGCTAGTGACAAATATGTCTGTCTTGAGCCGAGAATATCCCGGAATGATGGTAAACCTGATTAAGTATATTTGCCTGAATAGAAAGGAAAATTTATTGACATTAGAAAGGAAAATTGGCAGTAATTCTTCTGGCAACTAGTATGGCCGCCTACACAAGGATATAATTGCTTCTCTGTAACTCATTTAAAAATCAAAAGTTGTAGTCATTTCCGGTGGAATAGGAAGTGACCTAAAACAATTGAATACGTCAATCAATCCTAATTTATGTCATATACTAACATACCAAATCTCCTTTTTTTAAACGAAAAAATAAAAAAGTTATAGGGGGTGAGTCACTTTTGAGACGCACCCGGTATATATGAACTAAAAACTGACCAAACCAAACCAAACGAAATGAGCCGAAAACTCTCGGCAAACTATATTGCGAAATAGGAATAGTAGTTTTTCAAAGGAACGCTTGTCAAGAAAGTTCCTATTAGGATATCCTTGACATTAACCCTTCAGGCCAACAAGCAATTGTCCTTACAAAATAAAATCACTAGTAACATATCCATTACTTTGATTGAAATTAAAAAAAAATAATTTTCTTTCAGCAACAATAAGGCGTTTATTTAGCTAATGTATATTTTAAACATTTTAGAACAAATTTAGGCAAAGTTATAACTCAATATATCCTAAAATAGTTTTTCCATAACAAATTTTGATTTCCATATTCCGACGTTCCTGTTTTCCACATTTTCTCAACATACATAGGTGTGAAATACCAATACCCTAAGTATTTTACACACTCTTTGTCCTTAATATCTTTATATAA